CGCGAATCCACGTTTTGCGTCTCCTCGACCCCCCCCCGACCACGACAAGGGGGTGAGGTGGACTTGCCGCATGGGTGCCGCGATTCGGGAGGTGAGGTTTTGGGGGGAGCGGCCAAACGCTCGAACTCCCGCCTGGAAGGCCGCCGAAATTCAACCCCCATTGATAGGGCAATTTTCCACCACCGCTACCATGGGTAGGACATGGGGGGAGGGGGGGGGAAGAGAGGATGGGGAGGTCCTCCTCCTCCTCCTCCTCCTCCTCCTCCTCCTCCTCCTCCTCCTCCTCCTCCTCCTCCTAGGCGTTGTGGTCCGAGGCGCCTCCTTGCGGGAAAGCCCGTCCGACCGCGACCCCAGCGCGTTGGCGCCACGGCCCGCGATCGATCCCCTGCGTGGCACCGCCGCGGTAGGCGGCGCAGGGCGTTGGCCAGAGATCGATTACGCCGTGAAGCCGACCTCCAGGCGTTGTACCTTCATCACGGCAGCTGCGTTCCTCAGATGGCTTGGAGATTTCGTACCCCGTGGAGGCGCAGCCGCCGCAATGCAGGCGCCTGATAATTTCGTGCTGATGATTCGTGGAACAAGAAGTCGAGGGACACATGCTACCAGGTTTGCTCAATATGTTCGCACTGGGAGTATACCAGATCCGGGCATCGTGCGTGCAGCAAGTGTCATGGAGCATACCGTCAGGCTGGTGATGTCGTCAGTGGTCAAGGTGGTCTATCCCAGCCTGGTAATGCTACTCCTGCTCCTGGTGCTCCTGGGCCTATGCCACCCGAGTTGGTTGCTCAACTCCAGTTGTGGTCGTCCGCCTATCCCGCCCTTGCAGGCGCTGTGCAGGCTCAGGCCCCCCCCCCTCCCCGCCAATCGTGCAAGCCCCGTCCGAGATGGAGATGGATCGGATGGTCTTTGCCAAGCAAGCCGAGTTGGCCAGGTCTTGTGAGACGGCGGCCAAATGCGAGAGGATGGCGCCCCAGGAAGTTCAGTGGAGACTGGACAGGCTCAATCAGACGAGGGCCCTCTTGGCGGAGCGTGAACGTGCTCACGTTGAAGCACTCGCAGAGCTCCAGTCAGCAGCTGCGGCCAAGCGGCAAGCCGATCATGATAAGTCCACTTTCGGCCCAGACCAATACAAAGCCCACAAGAAGCATGATATCCAGGAGCATATTGACGAAGCTGTACGGAGAGCTGCGGCGGCTACTCCTACTGCTGCTCCTGCCCCTGCTGCTCCTGGTGGTGTCCCCGTGCAGCCACCTCGTGGAACACTCCCGCCAAACATCGTCGGGTGTATCCGAGACGGCAAGGTGGACTACAATATACTCGAGACGGTCTTGCATGGGTTTGATGACCAGCAGCTGCAGTCCCTCTCGGCCTGTACCCCGAATCGGCATCGAGCAGTGGAATCAGTACCGTACCATATGCCAGCGGCGCCAGCAGCCCCTCATCGGCGATGATGCAAGCGACATGGGGGGTGAAGCTGGCGACCTGGTTGCAGAACGTGAAGAACTGGCAGCACTCACGAAGCGTGCTGCCGAACAGGGGCTCGATGCTGCAGGTGCTGACCGCTACCAGAAGTTGCTCACATCGGCCCTCGAGCATCGGGCCACCAAGAAGGCTCGGAGCGCTGAGGTCGAGTCTCATGATAGGTATCGTGCCTTTTGCAACGTGGCAGCACAGCAGCCGGTACCAGGAGCCGAGGCTGCTCATCCGCACGTTGGGTAGCACGTGTTCGGCCCCTGTTGGGGGCAAGGCTCCGCCATCGTCGCACCCCGCAGAGGAGAAGGTGGAGCCTAGTACCAGCACAGGAGTGCATTTCAAGTTCGTGAATATTTCGGCTTGGTCGAAGTTGGCCCAGGATCCCTTGGCAAACCAGGTTTCCTATGTGGGCGGAGTTTTTTTTGCCGAGCATCGCCTGAAGGATGGATCAAAAGTTTTTACAGCCACGGAACTCTGCCGACAACTTCGCTGGCCCCCGTATTTCCAGAGCGCATTGCCTTCGCCAGGAGGTGGATCTCACGGAGGCGTGTGCGCCGCAGTCCAGCCTGGCCTCTGCATTCGTATGCTTTTTTGAAGCAGGCTCGCAAAGTTGTCCAAGTTGGCGCAGGCGAGTGCTGGTTCTTCCTAGAGATGCGTCTAAGATCTTGTACTATCGCTGTGGGGGTGATGTACCTGGTCCCGTCGATCGGCGTCTCTGGGGCAAATGCTAGCCGTCTGCGTTCCCTGGCAGAGTTCGTTAATACCTTGGCGATTCCCTGGGTTCTGATTGGGGGCTTCAACATGCCCCCCGGCCTCCTCCAGGAAAGAGGATTATTGGAACTCGCTCGTGCTCGGACTATCGTTCCTGGGAACGTGACGGTTCTCTGTGTCGTGGGCGAGTCTATGATTGACTACGTGGTATGTAGCGATGCGGTGTGGCCCTATGTTAAGGTGGATACAGATCCTACTTCGCCCTTTAGAGTACATGCCTGTTTGGATACCAGGATTGATTTGGAAAGCTTATCCTTGCCTGTGCGCGCGCGTAGCGTGGCCGCTAAGTTTCCTGAAGCATATGGCCCTGACAATTGTTGGTTGTCTTATGTGAGTGAGGCTGCCAGGTCGTCCTCGCCTCGCACCCTTGCGTTTCCTGAAGACGTAAGGGGTGCCCTTCCACAGCGCGCCGCCGAGCACCTGGATCACGACTTGAGTTTCAAGTATGCGGTGTGGTCTCGTGCTGTTGAATTCATGATGTTGTCTCGTGCCTGTGCGATCATTCATGAGCCACACATGTACCTTGGTCGCGGGGCCATGATTAAGAGGCGCGACGCTTCCTTGGCAGCCCGAGGCACAGCAGCTCAAAGCTCCCGCTGTCCGACCCGCGCATTCTGGTCTATGGTGGGTTCCCATGCTCATGAATATTGGAAGCTCCTGAAGGCCCCCTGCGGTACCCCTGCAAGGCGAATGCGTGACGTACTTCGCGAATGTGCTCCTCTTGTACATGCCCGCATTGGCCCTCTGCAGGGTACGGATGAGGCAAAGGCTTGGACCACCCTTCTGGAGGACCCTCCTTACAATCGCGATGATGCTCGTCTGATGGTCGATCGTTGTGGCGACATATGCGCACGTGCCTGGTCTCAAGTGCGTGCCCACGCCCGTGACAGTATTCGTGAATGGTTGCGGGCTGCCTTACCGCGAGGTGCTAAGAAGGTCCATGCATACCTTAAAGCAGAGGGGAATATGTGGGTTGAGTGTTTCGAAGCTCCCCAAGGAGTCGTGAACGAGCTGATTAGTATGATGAAGCATAGGGAGTATCTGTGGAGCAGTCGGTGGGCTCCAGGGCCTCTGGTTAGCAAGTGTCTCGACGCTGGGCTGGATGAGCTCCGAGCCCCCGCGCAGATCTCTCTTCTTGATTCAGACCCCCATCGAGGTGAAGGACATCGCCCGTGCTTGTGTCAGGTTTGGCGATCAGTCCCCCACTGGCGTTGATCAGTGGTCTCCGCGTTTTGTTTGATGGGCTTGTATTAAGCAGCACTCAAGCAGCTCACCGAGATCTTTGTGGACATCGAAGGTAAGCTTGCCTTTCCCTCGCAGTGCCTTTTTCTGTGAAATGGCCATGCTCCCTAAGTCAATCAAGGATGAGAGAGCCATCGCTAAATGCCCCACTGTCTACAGCATTTATTGTAAGGCGCGGGGCTTTGATATCGATTCTTGGAACCGACAGCATCTGGAGTTTTTGGGTGCGGCAGTGTCTCTCTTCTCACATGGCTGCCTGCAGTATGTGCGAGTTGGGATATGGAGAATTTGCTCGAATCAGTTTCCCCGCGCAAGTTGATGCACCTTGTCATCAAGCATGGTTACTCGGCCTACTTCCTCCACCTTGGCCTCCTCATCCACGCGTCCCCGAGGCCCTGGAGGTCTCCGGGATGATGTCCAAGGTTTTGGCAGCTGGGGGGGTTATTTTGCCGGGGTGTGGTCAGAGTATGCCCTGGGTTAAATGCTATCTGTATGATGTCTTGGAGAGAGCCCATAACAGGATTCCCGAAGGCCCCAACACGAGCCCCACGGTCCGAGTTCCGATTAGGTCCTACGTTGACGACATTATTCAGTTCTTGCGCGGCACGCCAGCCTTCCTGAGCAAGTACTTCCCCCAGGCTGTTGCTTCTTTCCAGCATGACGTTGAGGACTTGGGCTGCAGAGTTTCAACCAAGTCTACCGCCCTTGCGTCCAGCCAGGCAGTCCAGCAGTTGATGCGCGCCGAGCTTGCCAAGTTTAACCTCGTCCTGATCTTTTGGGGAATATGTGAAAGATCTGGGTACTGTTACTACCCTCACCAAACGTCGTTCCCTTGGAGGATTAAGCTCAGACGAGGCATTGCTTTTCGGAGAAGTATGAAGCTTGGATATTTGGCGCAGCTGCGCGGGCGCTCAAGGAAAGTGCTCAAATCTGGAATCCTGTCCGTCGGTGCGTGGGGCCATGGGGCCCTGGGGACCCCTCCTGGGGAGATGAAGAAGCTGCTCGGCACTGCTGCTGAATGTTCTGGCTTCTGGAGCTCTGCAGCTTGCGCGGCTTCGGTTCTTCAGGTCCTGAGCGATTTCAGCGATGATCCGATTTTTCGCTTTCGAGTGGAACAGCTTGCCCTACTGACGGATGCCTGGGAGTCTCTACCACCAGGCATTCAAGCAGGAGCCCGTCGAGCGTGGGCCCGGTATGCTGAAGTATTCGACCATAACCTGCGGCTAGAAGATGGAGACTGGTGAAAGGCCCTATTGCGGCCGTGTATGTTACTGTCCTGGACCTCGGTTGGATTCCAAGGGCCATCGATCGCCGGGAAGGTCCTGGATCCTCCGGTCTCCGTCTTGGGGCCCCTGACCTTTGCTATCATCGCGTTCGTCGTGTTCGTGAAACGTGTAGAGCCCAGGTTTGGTAAAAGGCGTCTGAGCATTTTTGTGCTGCAGTAGTCGAGCACGGCGTCGACTTCGCAGTATTCAGGAAGTTTCATCGGTCGCTGGTGCAAGACGGCGACTACCAGAGAGCAGCAACGCCCGTCACTATTGCAGCCGGGGCCTGTTGGCTAGAGGAGCGCTTGCTCCTGCCAGGGTGCATGACCTCAGGCCAGCGCCCTAGGTGTGCAGATGAGAAAGAGTCTATGATGCAGGTCTTCCACCTCTTTCTGCTACTGTTGGGCTGGTTCCTGCCCCCTATTATCGTGTCTGGTCTTGTGGACTATGAGGGCCTCTTCAGAAGCTGGATGGAGGTCTGTGGGGGCTCGATGGGTCTGGAGGTCAACATGCCAAAGATGATAGGTTGAGAAGACGTGGTTGGGCTATTGTCCGTTTGGGACCTCCTGCCGTTGATGGACCTCGGCTAGATGCTATTTGTTGTGGTTCCCTCCCGACCCCAGAGCAATCAAGTCCTAGGGCCGAGCTCTTCGCCTTCCTCGTAGTCCTCAATCACACCCGTGGCGATATTGTATGCTATACATATTATCTCCCACTGTGTCGTGCGATGGCTAAATCACGTTCCTCGATTGCTAAGACCTCACCCATGGCGGACTTGTGGGTTCAAGTGTGGTGTGCTCTAGATAACCGTGGACCTGGTAATGTTGTAGTACTATGGACTAAGTCGCACGCTACCCCAGATATGCAGTTGAAGTTCGGTATTCAGTCTGATGAGTATTTTCTGAATTGGTGTGCAGATTTCTTCGTTGGATGGGCTGCAGATTCCAGTGCAGTTCCTGATGACGTCGTTCTGAGAGTTCGACAACAAGATGAGTTGACCCACTCCATTCTAGGTAGGTTGCTGGCAGTGAATTTGGAAGTAGCCGAATCTTACAAACGCTTGACGGCGGCCCGCGTCGGTCGTGCCCCGCGTAAGTCCCGTGCTTTGTCGGCCTTCGCTACCAGGAAGGCCCGTCTCCTCGCCGCTGGCCGCTCCTGTGTTAAGCGCTCGGCCGACTTTAAGTGCCAGATGTGTGGACGTAGGTTCCCGATGAATGGCCTTCTTAGACGCTTCCTTCCTGGTCGTTGTCCTGGGGCCCGCGCTTTGGCGCCTGAAGATCGCTCCTGCCATCCCTTGTAAATGCATGCTGATAGTTCGCACACCCTCGAGGTTCTCAGGAGTGTGCTGTATTGTGTTGTTTGTGGGAGTTTCGGCACCGTGAACGCACGGGGCCTTTGTAAACTCTGTCCCCCGTCACGCCGCTCCACCAAGGCGGGAGCAGAGGTGCTGAGCCGCCTCTCGCGAGGACTCCCGCCCAAGTGCGGAGTCCCCTGGCCTGCTCCCTGAGATTGGATTGCGCCCAGGCTTGACCTGGTCCCCGCTTGAGTCCAATCCAACCCAATCCAATCCAATCCACCTCCTCCTCCTCCTCCTCCTCCTCCTCCTCCCCCTCCTCCTCCCCTTCCTCCTCCTCCTCCTCCCCCCTCTCCCACTTGTGGTAGCACTGGTGGAAGACCGGCCCATCGCCCGCCCCGAGCCACGGCGCCCCCGCTTGCCAGGGAATTCCCGCGGGCGCCGCCCTCGCGGGTGGGGGCGCCAGCAGGCCAGGGGCGGAGGCTCGAAGGGGCTTCCCTCCAGAAGCCTTGCTCGTGCCATGCTTCGAGGAGGCGCGCACACAATGGGCGCTTGTGCAGGCGACGGGCCCCTCTTCCGTGCCAGTTCGGCAGGATCCGTCGCCAAGTCAGGCGGAGTTGGCCGAAATGCTTCGGTGGGTATGTTCCCCGAACCGTGGATCTGGCGCCCACGGGCTGGATCCACGTGTCCCTATAGCGTCTCGCGCGAGGGGTCGAAAACGCATGGGCCTGGAGCCGGAGTCGGGCGAACATGGGGCTCGAATGCGCTGGGCTGTCCGGGCGACTGCCTCGCACGGGGCGGGCCCGACCGCGAGGGTCAGGGCGAGGGGGGCAGCACGGCACGCGGATGCCATCTGCCGCGCACAGCGCGGGCAGCGGGCTGCATCCTGCACCCCGTGGCGCAGACGCTGCTGTGGCTGTGCGTGCTCTGCGGCGTCGCCGCCTGCGCTCTCCTGATGAGCCTGATCCCGAAGGGCCACGCGGCGGCACGAACACACACTTGTCGAGCAGGAGATCGACCACATAATAATTGATTTACCCCGAAATTGATTGCCTCGTCGAGTCTGCGATGAATTAATCGAGATCTCGTAGGTCTGCAAAGACTCGACGAGCAAACCAATCTGGCCTCCGCGGGGCCCTTTGCTCGTCGCCACGGCCGGAGGCAGCTTGGAGCACTGGGTGCGTTCGTGGGTCGCTCCGGGAGCGGTCGAGGGGCCGAGCTTGGGCTGCCGGTCTCTCAGGTGAGCGACGCAGAGGAAGGGGGGTCGTCTTTCACCACCCACCAAACCACCCCAACCCAACCCGAAGGCCTCAATTTGCCCTCCATTTCCAGTTGGGGGGGGGGTCGGGGAACATCGAAAAAACACGCATGGAGCCCGTACCCCCCCCAACAACCCGAAATTGGGGTCTTCGGGTTGGGTTGGGGTGGTCTGGTAGGTAGTCAGTCTTGGCCGACGTGGGCGCGGGAGCTGCCCGCGTGGTGTCGCGCGCAGAAGCGCCCCTGCTTCCAGCGTGGAGGGCCGCGTCTCTGGCTCGCGCAGGCCACCGCAGAAGGCTGCTGCTCCGCGGCGAGCTCGGAGGGGGAAGTGGCAGTGAGGGGTAGCAGGCCTTCTCAAAAGGCTCAGAAGCCCCCCTGGCCTTCCGCGAAGTTCTCGAGGCCTTCCCCGGAGGTCCAGGGAAGTTTCTCGCAAGGCGCGAGGGCTTCTGAGAAGTCCCGCCGCCTGCTGAGAAGGCCCCCTCCTTGTCGCTTCCTGCCCCTCGCTCGCCGCCGAGCTGTGCCATCTCGCGGGAGACCCGCCTCTGATCGCTCCTCCGCTCGCCTGGCTCTTCTCGTGGGAGGCCCGCGCGGGTCTGTCTCGAGTCGGCGTCTGGGCCCTGCGGCGCGCGCGCGCGCAGAGGAGGGCGGCCTCGCCAGGCGCGGAGCGCCGCCTTCGGGGAGGGGTGAGGCGAAGCCCGGACGCGGATGAAACCGGCTACGGCTAGATCGAGAATCTCTGAGATCTGGCGGCTTTGGAGGATGTCTCGGGCGCCGCGGCCTTCTCAGAGCGCTCCGGAACGCTCTGAAGGCGTTCCGGGACGCTTTGGAATGGATTTGTCCTCGTCCTAGCCCCGTCCGAGGGGGGCGGTCCAACGCCGAGTGGAGAGATTCGCGTGGACTTCTGGGCGTTTGTGCGGTCGGGCCAGGGTGTATAAGATCGAGGTCGGTTCGGGGAGGGTACCCTAGTGATCTTCGCGTTCGTTGGATGTTCTTGTGCATCCGTCGAGTACACGTAAACGTGACCCTTCGCCAGAGTGACCTTTGGTGCCGACCCAATGGGGTCCCCCGGTCGTTAAACGCGAAGCGGTAGCAGCGGCTTGCGCACCCAGGTTTGGCCATCCCGCGTCCCCCGTTAAGCCGCGCACCAAAGGTCTCTCTTGCCTAATCCAGAAGCCCTTATAATGAGGACGATCGAGGTCGTTTCAAAGCAGTCCCAGGGGACTGCTTTGAACGCTAGGCAACGTTCAAAGCAGTCCCCTGGGACTGCTTTGAACGATGCGGATTTCTGGCCAGAAGAGCGCAGGGAGGAACAGGAGGAGCAGGAGGAGGAGGAGAAGGTGGAGAGGGCTGTTGCAAGGTGCGCCGATGGCTCCTGTCCGTCGCCACGCTGTGCCCAGGGGGGGAAGAGGTGGAGGAGAAGGAGGAGGGGGAGGGGTTCGAGGAAGGATCGGCGAGGTTTTTCTCATCAGTTTCGGCCTCTGGAGACCCAGCGGGACAACAAAGCCGCAGTTGCGGCGATCCAGAGTAATTCTTTCAAAATCGAAGATTCCCCTCTGCCCCTCTGCCTTCAGGGGTGTTTGCATACATATATGCATATTTACACATATACATATATATACATATATATATATATGTATATGTGTATATGTGTATATGTGTATATGTGTATATGTGTATATGTGTATATGTATATGTATATGTATATGTATATGTATATGTATACGTATAAGTATATGTATATGTATATGTATATGTATATGTATATGTATATGTAGATGTATATGTATATGTATATGTATATGTATATGTATATGTATATGTATATGTATATGTATATGTATATGTGTATGTGTATGTGTATGTATATGTATATGTATATGTATATGTATATGTATATGTATATGTATATGTATATGTATGTATGTGTGTATGTATGTTTGTTTGTTTGTTTGTATGTTTGTATGCTTGTATGTGTACACATATGGTTTTATATATATATATATATATATATATATATTGGTTTGGTATATGTGTTTGTACTTGTCGTCGCCGTCGCCGCCGTCGCCGCCGTCGTCGCCGCCCTTCCAGGGCGCCCCCCCGCTTCGTGTAGCGGTCACGGGGGGGGCATCCTGGAGGGGCGCGTTCTGTCTCCCTCCCTGGGTTCAGGGGCGCCCCCCCCCGCCGCGGGGAGCGGTCACGGGGGGGGGCGCTCTGGTGGGGCGCGTTCTGACCACGCCCCCTGGGCCCTGGGACACCCCCCTCCGCCGCGAGGAAGCGGTCACGGGGGGGGCGCCCTGGAAAGGTGAGCTCTCGACCCCTCCCCGGTCCTCCTCACTGCATTCTCCCTCCCGCCCTCCCCCTCCAGTGCCGCTCGGCTCACGCAGTGCCGTTCGGCTCAAACCAGCGCCGACGTTGGCGGTGGCACGGGCTCGCGCCTGTGCAGGATGGGCAAAGAATTGCACATATTGGCAAATGTGTGCGAAACGGCGGCCCTGGAGGAAGCAGAGAAAAATAGGGCCGCAGTTGCGGAGCTTCCATGGGGCAAAGGCGGCGATGGGGCAGCTCGTGGATGGTGGGGCGACCGCAGTGGCGGATGGGGCGGCGGGGATGGCCGCAGTGGTGGATGGCAAGGCGTCAATTGGCGCAGTGGCGCATTGCAAAGGGATGGATGGGGAAACGGCGACGGAGTTGACCGCAGTCGCGGATGGGAGGGCGGCGGCGGAGGTTGGCAACGCGGAGAGGAGGGTGGCGGCGGAACTCATGGCGCCAGTGGAAGTTGGGAGGGCCGCGCCAGCGGTGGAGGAGAGGGCGCAGGCGAACGCGAGCAGGACCGCTGGAGCGGATGGGAAGACGGCCGCGGGAGCGGTTGGGAAGGCAGCCGCTGGAGCGGATGGGAAGGCGGCCGCGAAAACCAATGGCAAGGCGCAGTTGCGCACGTCCAAGGAGAGGGCGCCCCCGCAGGGCGAGCGGCAGCCGACGCGAAGTGCAAGGGGGAAACCGCAGTGGCGCATGTCCCAGGGCGAGGGGGCGCCGCAGCTGCGGACGCAAACCGCCCTGGGGCGTGCACGTTGGAGTGTTTCCAAACCTACGCTTTGCGCTGGCATGGCAACTATAAGCAGCGCATCGCGGCCTTGAAGTGCTCCCGCGAAGAGTACGAAAACCCAGCTGACCCCTTTCAACAGCCGATTTCCTGTTTTTTGGCCCCGCAGTTGTGGAGGCGATTTCGCGCATTATCAAGCGCGAAGGGCGCGGAGGGGCGCAGGGCAACAGGGGCTGGGAGTGGGGCCGCGCAGAACAGGTCCCGTGGTCTTGGCTGCAGCTGGTCGCGCAGATGGATGCGGCCACAATGGAACTCGTCGTGTGCGGCCCTGACAACGACCGCAGTCGCGGATTGGTCAGGTGCGAGATTCGGCCGTGCCCTGGCAGTTACGACCACAATAGGCACGCCAAAGGGGTGGACAGAGGAGAAGCGCAGGCAGTCCGCTTGCCCGCGTGGGATGTCGTCCTCATCCGCGACGACGGCTCAGGCAACCGCGTTCACCCGGAATGGCCCAGTCCGAAGTTCAGCCTGTATGAGGTCGAGCCTCACTGGGGGCCCGCGCAGCCCCCGGGGAAGGGCCTCGGCAAGAGCGAGGGGCGCGGCACGCGCGCATACTACAAGAGATTGCACGCCAAGCCAATATCGGGGCGGTTCGACGCAACCAGAGGAGCCGCGCTACAACCGAGGTGGGAGAGAGCTTGAAACCGCAGTTGCGGAAACCGATCTCGTGACACCGCGATCCTTTCACTCACTTCCCGCGTCTTCGTCCGCAGTTGCGGCGCCCCCGCTCGCCTTCCGCATGCGTCCGCCCGCAGTTGCGGCGCCCGCGCGAGTGAACTCCGCAGGCGTTTCGCCCGCGCTTCACGTCCTTTGAGTCAGTCGGCAATTCAGCAATCAGCTGCCCGCAGTTGCGGCAGGCGGAGACGCAGTTGCGGCGCGCGGCTTCTCGTGCGAAGAGTCGCGAAGAAAAACTCCACGGCTCATCTCGTCTTACTCTTGTCGTCGCCAAATTAATTATGTCTTCTGGATTCCCCTTCGTCACTGCCAGGCCCTTTGGTCCCACTTTGTCGTCTTCTATCTCTCCTCGATTCTCCTTCGTCGCCCCCCTCCTCCTCCTCCTCCTCGCTTGCGTTCTTGAGGCCACCCTCGGTGTCCTCGTCCCCTCCGTCGTTCTCCTCGCCGTCCTCTTCGTAATTGCCAATGCTGGCCTTCGCGCCCGTCGCCCTCTTCCTCATTCGCCGCAGCCGTGTCCGAGCATCTGTTGGGGGGGCGCGCTTCTCGCGGCGGCATGCCGCAGTTGGAGCTCGCCCACGAGGAGATGCTGGCGGCGCTGAGGGGCCGCCTGCAAACGCGCTTTGCAAGGGGGGGGGGCCGCAGTAGCGAATCCCCTCCGCGAGGCCACACAGCGGAGGAGGAGCAAGCCGCAGTAGCGGATCCCACCCCGCCGGCCAGCCTTCGGGGAGGAGAAAGCCGCAGTGGCGGATCCCCCGAGCGAGCGCCGCGCGAGGCGACTTCGGCGTCGAGTTGCAGCAGGGGTCGGCGGCGGCCGCCGCCGACAGGCGCAAGTTCCTCCGCGGCGCAGCCGCGCGAGCGGTCTCGGAGCGCCCCGAGGCGCAGGGAGGCGCAGTTGCGCCGCGCGCACGGAGCTCCCAGTGCGCAGTTGCGCGCGCGGGACCCGACGCCGC